AGTGATGACTATGTCCCTGGCTGTTCTGTCTCGACCTGGGCCTCCCAAGAGGGGGCGCCTGAAGCATACTTGAGAGTGAGCGGGCACAGTTGCTGATGAACCTGGGCTGGCAAACCAGGAGAGTCCTGGGGAGCTGGGGTGGTCACTTTCTTCCCAGGGCCTTGAGCCTCTGGTTTGGGTGCCAGAGGAAGGGCAGCCCTGAGTCAGCTCTGCCCTTGAAGTTTCTCTGGCTCCTGAATTGGGGTGCTCCAGGCCCCAGGTAGAAAAGGACAGATGAGCCAGAGTCAGTATGTGTGTGTGTAATAGAGCATGGTGTGGGCCCCACCCGAGCCCTTACCATATGCAGGTGTCCTGGCAGTGTCTCCTATCTGAGCGAGGATCACTCCACCTTGGATATTGAGATATAACTCATATGCCATCAAATTCACCATTAAGCGGGCAACTGTGGGTTTTATATTCACAAGGTGCGGGTAACCATCACCACTGTCTGATCTGAAGACATTTCTGTCACCGCTGATCTCTAGCAGTAACACCCCATCTTCCTGCCAGCCCCTGGCACCACGGTACACCGACTCCCGGATGTGTCTATTCTGACACTTCACTAATGGATAACAATGTGTGGCTGCGTTCTGGCTTCCTCGCTGAGCGATGTTTTCAAGAGCCGATCACATTGTCGTGTGTGTTGGGACTTCCTCCCTTCTGTGGCTGAATAATGTTTTGTACCATCACCCCTCAGTTTGTCCAGCTGCCGATGGGCCTTTGGGTGCGTTATCACCTTTGCTGTTCTGAATAATGCTGCTGTGAACATTTGTGCCTTGCGCTGCCTGGGCGCTTTCAGCTTTTCTGGGGTGTATACACCTAGGGGTGGAATTTCTGGGCCAGAGGGTAACACGCTCTTTTGAGGAAAACGGACGTTTTCCACCGACTGCACCGTTACTCACCAATTTTGCAGGTGACAAAAAAACTGAGAAAGTCACACTGTCCACAGCGTCGCAGCTGCTACTGGGGCGGGTCTGATGGCAGACTCCAGGCCAGTGCTCCGGGCTGGCCACACAGGCATGCGGAAGGGCACTGCCCTTCCTTCCTTGACACACGCTCCTCAGAGTCACGATTTTATACAGTAACAGCTGGCAGGTGCCACCTGACATTTACAGAGGGAGAATGGGAGCTCTGTATCGGTGCTGGCCTTCTGTCCCTGCCCAGAGCTCAGAGAAGCAAGGAGGGAGGGGATGCAGAGAACCCCAGGCTGACTCACCGTGTGCCAATGCTACAGATCTGGAGACTGAGGCCTCGAAGAGGAAAGAGGAACCAAGGGAGGTCCTGGGGCTCAGGCAGAGCAGGCCGGCCATCCACACGTCCCAACCCCCAGGTCTTTCCACCTGCCTACCTGCTCCTGCTCGCCTCTGGAGTAAGATGACTGCTACAGCTGGCTTAGCAGGGGAGGCGCAGCCAGATTGCTAAGCACAGATGCACCGCCCGTGGAGTTCAAGGAGGAGCAAACATCTGCGTATTTCAGATGTTCTTAGCACATCTAACACCCAGACCTGGCAGCAAGTGCACACAGATGGTCCCCAGAGAACCACCTCCCACAGCCTGCCCTTCAAATCAGGGCGGGCTGGGCCTCCCTGAAACCTCAGGCGAGCCATCGGCTGCAGCCCGTCCTGGCCCCAGGGGCCCGCAGCCCCTGCTTCTGCTCTCTTGGGAGCTGAGCCACCCTCGGAAGGCTCGCTGAGGGGGCCACGTGAGGCCCCTTGGAGAAGTCACGGAGGGGACCGCTGAGGAGGTGAGGCCCGGCCGCCCCAGATTCAGAGCCCAGCGCCACCTGCCTGTGGCTACAAGGAGACCCCTAAGCAGACACCAGACCTGCCCAGCTGAGCCTAACCTGGAACCACAAGATAATAAAGCGGTTCTTGAGGCCACTAAGTTTCAGTGGCTTTGGGTGCTGCAGTAAACAACAAGGTGACAGTGTCTCCTGAGGGCTGGTCCCAGCTGCTCCTGCCTCTGCCCAGACCAGCGATCTGCTGTTCCCTGTGGCCAGTGGACCTAGTTCCAGCCTGGTGATTGCCCCTAGTACATGCTCTGCAGAGTTCCTGGACCAGGACGAGAGGGGCAGGTTAGCATGATGTCCCGAGCCTGGGTGGCTCAGTCGGTTAAGTGTCCCACCTCAGCTCAGGCATGGGTCTGCTGGGTTGGTAGTTCAAGGCCAGCGTCTGGCTCTGTGCTGAGAGCTGAGCCTCTGGAGCCTGCTTCAGATTCCTCCCTCTCCCTGCTCCCTCTCCTGCTCCTGTGGTTCTGTCTCTCTCTCCCTGTGTCTCTCCCCACCTTGAAGACTTCCCACACCTTCTTCCTCTTTCTCCTCAGGTGATTTGTGTGTGCTGTTCATTCAAAAAACACAAAACAGCTCAGCGCTCTAGCTGGGTCCCAAGGTGGTCCAAAGAACTCGTCAAGCACCAGGAGGGAAGTCATAAGTTCAGCAGCTGGCGGGCCATGCCGGAGTGTCCCCTGCTGTCAGGCACCTGAGTGAGCCTGCACTGGTCTAGAGCGTGAGCTTGACTCTCCTGGGCTGGAGGGGGGGTGTACTCTTCTGTTGTTCAGTCTCCAAGATCACTTGGGTCACGACCTCAGAAGTGGCCTTCTGTGACCCTCGTGACCGGGACCCTGTACAAGACAGAGAGACCTTGCCCACTCCCTGTCTGCACCCCCCCCCCCCAGCAGCAAGGGGCACAATCAAAGTTTTGTGAGAAAAGGATGCATTCTCTGTCCTTGTCTGGAAAATTGAGCCCTGGGGATGCTGGAGGTGCAGTTCCAGAAACCGCCACCAGGAGGCACCACTAAAGCTTGGCTGCTTGGGAGCTAGGCTGGCCTAGCCCAAGGACAGTTTATCTGTTGGGTTTTGCTTTTGTTTTGTTTCGTTTCTTGTCTTCAAAGTCCTGTCTTATCTAAAAATAGAATTGCCCAGACTGCTGCTGTCCCCAGCTCAGGTTGAGGCTGGCCAGCCGGTCAACATTATAACTTGTCTGTTAGGGACAGAGTAAGGGACCTTAACATGATAACTTGTCACTTAGAGGTGAAACCAAAGGGGCCTTGTGGCCCCAAGGGCTGTGCAAGAATCCAGATGCCACTGCCTCAGCTGGATGTAGCTGAGGGCAGGAAGGCATGATTTTAAGCTCATCTGCAGCCACAGCTGCTTGAGGCTACGGCTTTGGACATTTTACTCTCATCCTCAGCCTCGGTTTCCTCATCTGTAAAATGGGGAATGATATATCCGATCAGCATTGTTTGGCATCATGGCGTATCCAACATAATAGGGGCAGCTGGGCCTGGGAGGACCGGCCCAAAAGTCACCAGGTGTCCCCATCGCCACAGCTCGGCTGGCAGGGGCAGTTTGTCCATAGGGGAGAGTGGGGTTTGGGGTTAATGCAGGGCGCCAGACACATGGGGATTTCGCCCTCCTCCTCTGGAAGAACTCTGGGCACTTGTGGGCTGGGGCGTGCAGATGGCCAGCTCAGCATCCCGCGCCTGCGTTTGTCCTTCCCTCTGCCATGCGGTGACACTTGGTCCAAAGTTTGCCTTGAGAAGGGTTTCCTGCAGTGAGTGTGAGCCTCACTATTAGGCTATTGGGGCCTGCAAATGCCGTGGAGGCCCCTATTGTGTGTGTGTGTGTGTGTGCGTAGAGAGAGAGAGAGAGAGAGAGAGAGAGACACACACTGGCTGCCATTTTTTGGAGACAATTTGGGAAAGGATGGGGGCTCTGTTTCAGAATACCACATCCCCCCATTCCTCAAACCCCTCATCAGGCCTGGGATCCCGAGTCCCCATTCCTTCTACCACCTACAGTGACCCTCCATCCGCTGGGAAGAACCTACACAGACTCTGCTACTGCTCCTGTGCAGCCCTCTCCCCAGCCCTGGATCAGGCCCATCGGCCTTTCCACTTCTCAACCTGCTCCAACTGTAAGGAAGCCTCTCCTGCCCCCCGGCTCTCCTTCCCACTGCCCATCCCACGGTCCTCTCCGTGCCTTCAATCAGGTCACTGGTCACGCCCCACTCCTAGCTTCCCCTGTGTTTTATCAGAGGGTTTTGAGGACCTCAGCCTCGGCCCTGGGAGAGGGCATGTGGGGCCTAATCACGGTGGGGTGGGGCTGCACTCGCCCCTGAGGGAACAACTGAAAAGCC